TGTGCATATGTATCTCTAAATTTCTCAGGGCCCTATCCTACTCCAGTATCATCTTAAATTGATTACATTTGAAAATACTCTATTTCCAAATAAAGTCTCACCCTTAGCATCAGGGATTAAGACTTCAATGCATCACATTTTTTTCTTTTATTTATTTATTTTTCTTTTATATTTTTTCATTTGTTCTTTTTAAATATACATGACAGTAGAGTGTATTTTGACATATTATACAATGTATCTCTTGAGGAAAGAGAGACACAATTCAACCCACAAATTCCTGGTTAAGATGTATACTTGCCAGGTTATAAAATATAAATCTTACAAAGATTCAGCTGTCTCTCAGAGGATGAGTTTTTAAGGTATCCAAAGAAATAAGCCAGAACATTCCTAAGGTAAAAAACAAGTTACTACACTGTGCATCTCCTACCACTAAAAAAGAAGCAAAATTATATTGTATACTTGAAACTTGCTAAGAGAGCAGATCTTAAATGTTTTCACCATCAAAAAAAAAAAAAGAAAAAAGGTAACTCTGTGAGTTAATAAGTATGTTAATTAGTTTTATTGTGACAATCATTTCACAATGTATATCAAAACATCACATTGTATACCTTAAATGTTTATATTTTGTCAATTATACTTAATAAAACTGGGGACAAGAAAAAAGAAAMACAGTAGTTGGCAGATCTCTTTGTGTTTGTGGCCTATTCCATTCTTGGTAATATTGCCTTGACCACATCTATCAGGAGACTCAGAAAGCCGCAAATTTTGAGTAGGCAAAAGCAAATTAGAAAAGATACTAAAGAATATATACCAAGCAGACCCCTGGAGTTCTAGAGCAAGGGATGCTTTCTGCAGAATGAAACTATCAGTTCAAAAGCAGCTGCTTACAAAGTCCTAGGCCTACTAGATGCCAAGCATCTGACCATGACACATCAAGTAACTGTTCAACTTAAGTGACAGGTGGCCTAGACTGTCATGTCATCTACCTGTTACACCAATACCTTTTCCTAAACTCATACCTATGGCCTCAAAAGAAGTTCATATCTATGGCCTCTGTTCTCTACACATTGTTACCTGGTGGTCCCATATAGTGGTCTTTATAGGACTTCAGTTGGAGGAAAATATTCYGATAGACATAGGTTACAGCAGTTTTCATACTCACATACTTTGTAGGGAGGGGAAAGTAGTATGAGGTAAGGATATACATGGACTTTTGTCAATGGCAAATKGCTTGGCAATGAGTTGTTCGGGGGACTGGAGATAGTGAAGTTGAAAGACTGGACACATAAAAGTTTGAGGAAAGATTTTATTAATCAAGCTATGAAAATGAATATAAAGCATGCAGATCCTTGATTTTGAAGTACTATCCAAAAAATATATGTTTAAGATAATAAATGTTCTAAAGGAAACACTACCACAGACTATACACTGAAAAACCAGGTGATCAGTCAGCATCATGTAACAGGACAAAGAAGAAATTAGCATGGAGGCAGAGATAGGTAAACTATACATGAGTCCTATGGCATTGGCTTCCTCTCATCACAGCTAATCTKCCTACAGCCATTGATGTGTGTTTTCAAGTATACAATCTTTATTTGCTTTTCTTCTTTCACTAGATAATTCTCCCTACTCTCTCCCTTGAGCTTCCTGAGATCCCCATCTAAATATACAATGCTTACTTAAGTTCTGACAGGGAAGAAACAATCTAGGATTCCTACATTGTAGATTTATTCTGACTTCAGTAATGAGGAAAAGGGAAGAGACAATTAAATGACTACAATGCAATATGAGCTATTAAAAAGCCCCGAAGCAACGTGTATAAACACAGAGTTAGATACAACTAAACCTGCCCAACAGGTACTACCAGGTAGAGAGAGGGATCTGGGGCACAAAGAAAATAGTGTCTTCAAAGGTGTTAGAGCTTGAGAAAACATGATGAATWAGAGAATGACAAGCAATTAAAATGGCTTTTTTATCAAAGATAYCTTTGGGAATAAGATGGCTTTGGGGAACGAAAGTTAGCATTCCCCATATTTCTGTTGTTTACATRACTTCATTCAACAAATACAATATTAATTGAGTATTCATTTTGTAAGCATCTGCTTGGTTTGATCACACTCAGATTCTGTCCGGAAGCAGGCTATATTCTGGTAGAGAACCAAAAGATGTTTAAAAATATGATGTGCCAAGCATTTCTAGAATGATAAAATTAGGGTGGTACACCTATTTCCCTAAGGGAAACAATAGCTACAGAGAGGAAATATGAAAAAAAAGAGATCAATGATTCACAGGAGAGTTTATATTTAACCTGCAGGCCTTATTYCTTACAAGAAAAACAGATTAATTAGCCACCAGCTAGATGCCTTGGAATGTCCTAGGCACTTTACACACTTTTAAAACTCTGAAAGAAAAAAATAATACCTATGAAGGCTTGTCTGTCTGAAAGCATTATAGTGCATTCACATGAACCAATGCTCTCAATTCATTGACTGAATTAAACACTCATACCTTATTAGTACATCTGGATGCATCCTCAGAATCTTTTACAACATAGCACATGAATCAGCCACAGTAGCACACAAGACTTGAACATAAGAGAGAACCTCTCTGACATCCCTATTTTAAATTGTCTAAGATAAATTGTTGAATTAAACTAGGTCAGATGAAACATGCATATGTCAAACAAATTGTTTTAAATGGCAATTGAATTGCTTTCACTAAAATGCCTTTTAGTATTATGCCCTCAGCCTACATTGAAGGATGTTACAAGTTGTGCCCTGATGAACTATATTGTAGTAAATACCAGAGTTATATCACAGTTCATCACATTTCAGTATCCATTTTAGAAAGCCAAACTGGAAGAATTTCTATCAGTTTTTAGGACCTTATTAATTTTATTTCAAGGCACTGGTTTCCAGAAAATTCACAACTACATTTATAGACTACCTATAGCAAACTGATAGAAATTCATACATTGCCTTTTTATACTCATCCAACAGAACATTCTTTTGATTATTACTTCTATGATGGTTAATTTTATTTATCAACTCAACCAAAACAAGTAGCGTCCAGATTAAATATCATTTTTTGGTCTGTCTGTCAGGATGTTTCTGGATGAGATTAGCACAGATCTAAGTGATAGAGCCAATTATTCATATATTGTGAGTAAAATATTTATTATTCATTTGGTGAATTTGTGGTCAAATTAGACAAATACTTATACTGAGCATTCTGGTAAGGTATGAAAAAAGACTGTAGTGTGGTTAATGAAAAGATGTCTAGGAAAGAAAAATGAATTATTTCAAGCTGTAGGTAAACCAAGACAATCTTTAAAGTAAAAATAAACCCAATCCTCATGATCCCTTATTATAAAGGCCTTCTAGTCTTTAACTAAGTTTAAAAAAATCAAAGCCATAAGGACATATTTGTATTGGTTCTTCTTAGTTCTACATGATAGTAGAATCCATTTTGACATAATTTTACAAGCATGGAATATACTTTGTTCTAATTCAGACCCCAGTACCTCTTCTTCCCCTTCCCTCTCCCAGTCTCCTCTCCTTTCCCTCTATTTATCTTTCTGACATTTATGCACAATTAATTTTTAAGTTTCTTGTAGATAGTACAATATTTTCTTTAAAAATTGAGTAYATTGTTTCTAACTATGTGGACATTACTCAGAACTGACTGGAAAGATTTGTGTCCCCTCAAAATAATATAGAAATATTAAAACCAAGTACCTTACAATATGACTTTACTAGAAGACAAAGTATTTACAGAGGTAACCAACTTAAAATGAGATAAATTGAAGGGGTTATAATTTAATATGACTGATACCTTCATAAAAAGAGAAAATTTGGGAAGAGAAACACATAAATGGAGTCAACCATATGAAGATGAATGCAGATCAGGGTGATGCCTATACTAACAATTTATCAGATCTAGAAGAGAAGCATAAAACATGTTCTTCCATATGACCTTTAAAAGGAACTAACACTGCTAACATCTTTATCTCAGACTTCTAACCTCCAGAACCAGAGACAATAGATTCATGTTGTTTAATCTTCTACTTGTTTTTTTGTAATTTTGTTATGCCAGCCATATTGAAATAACATAATGTGGAATAATCAAAGGTCAAGCAGTGCAAAAACAAATTTCCAATTGTTTGATATAAATAACCTATGTTTTTAAGGTTCAAAGAACTGTCATAAAACTGAAACTGGGATATACCTTCAAACAGACAGATACATACATACATACACATACACACACACACACACACACACACACACACACAAACAAGCATACATTATTCAGAACCAAAGAAAATTCAAACTTATATATAAAATTATACCTATTTATTTTTTGAGAGAGAGAGTTTTTAATATTTAATTTTTAGTTTTYRGTGGACACAACACCGAAATAATCTTTATTTTATTTTTATGTGGTGCTGAGGATCAAACCCAGTGCCCCAGGCATGCCAAGTGAGCACGCTACCGCTTGAGCCACATCCCCAGCCCCATACCTATTTGTTATTAMTGTTTTCAACACCTTCTGAGTATCTACTATAGGTCCTTCAGAGTATAAGTTTCAGGATATAAATAGGTTAATAAAAGCATTATCCCCACCCCTTTCAGAAAATCCACAACATTTGTTACTTATGAGGTGATATTAATTTTGGTCTTTTGTTTGTATTCAATTAAATCTGTTCCATAATAATTTTTCATAAGAAAGATCTCCTTTATCCAAAAGACTATGTTCTATGAGCATGTTATGATAGATCCCACTATAAAGTAAACATCCAATAACTAACAATTTATAATACAGTCAAATCATACAGTTTTATTCCAAATTAATGATACTATCAATTTTAGCAATTAAATTTCTCCAAGTTAATTCTGTCAGTGGGTTGAATCATTCTGAATAGTCAGGTGGAACTGAATTCTGAAAAAAAGAGTCTCACCCCAGACAAACTCAAAGGCAAAAGTCTTTAATATACTTACCACTTTCAAAGCAAGCATCAAAAATAAGATGTCCTTTCTTGGGTTGTCCACAGTATCCAGTTGGAAGCACCATATATTTGCTCACATTTCCTCCGATGGCATCATCATTTCCCGTATCATTGCCTATTTAAAAGATCACATGAAACAGAAATTGAAATATAGTTAGCAATACAAGTCCAATAAGATTTTTACCACTAACTTACCTTCTTTCCCATTCATGGCAGGGGGAGCAATTAAAAACACATTGTGATGCAGAAAAAGAGATACATTCTAAAATCAGAAAGATATTAGCTGAGATCTCACCTCTACTACATACTAATTTTCYGTGAACCAAAGTAATGAACCTACTACCCTTAACTCTCAGTTCCTCTAATTAATAAAAAAGAGGATAGATGGGGCCTGGTGGCGAACTCCTGTAATCCCTGTGGATTGGAAGACTGAAATGGCAGGACTATGAGTACAAACTCAGYCCCAGCAACTTTGAGAGGCCCTAAGCAACTCAGCTAGACCCCTGTCTCTAAAATATTAAAAAGGGCTCGGGAATGTGGCTCAGTGGTTAAGTACCCCTAGGTTCAATCCCCTGTACAAAAAAAAAAAAAAAACAGAGAGAGAGAGAATAGTACAACCCATTTTCCAAAGCTGTGTTATGAAAATTAGATTTAAAAATATCTAGTATCATTACTGAAATCCAAGAATGGGTCATCAAATTGTATCAATTATTTAATAATTCATATTGTAACTAATTTGTCACATATATACTCAATTTAGTTTATTGTATAAGTAGCATTATGTCTTCTGAATGTTCCATTATCAAAAACAATTTGATATCTACAATATTTTACCACATAATCATCACCACTGCATTAAGTACATTCACAAATATCCCATGCATCCTAATATTTTAGCAAAGACAATTCAGTAATAAATGATTTTAAGTACTACTACAACAATATTTTTAAACAGCTTCACATATCCAGGAGCTGYTATTCTTCCCTTCCTCACCTTTATTGTGTGTTAGCATCCATATAGCAAACATTCAGCCTTTGATTTGGGGGGATTATTTCACTTAGCATGATAGTCKTCAGTTCCATCCATTACCAGAAAATGCCATAATTTCATTCTTTATGGATGAATAACATTCCATAGTGAATATGTCCACATTTTATGTATTTATTCATCTGTTGAGGACACCTAGGTTGGTTTCACAACTTAGCTATCATTAATTGAGATGCTATAAATATTGATGTGTCCATATCACTGTAGTATGCTGATTTTRAGTCATTTGGGTATATAAAAAAAGAGTAGGCTAACTGGGTACATAGTGGCTCAATTCCAAGTTTTCTGAGAAATCTCCATATTGCTTTCCAGAGTGTTTGCACCAATTTGTAGTCCCACTGGCAATATATGAGTGAGCCTTTTTGTCCACATCCTTGCCAACATTTATTGTTSCTTCTATTCTTAATGATTGCMATTCTGACTGGAGAGGGAATACAAGAGTAGTTTAAATTTGCATTTCTCTAATTGCTAGAGATATTGAACACTTTTTCATATATTTGTTGACCATTCTTATTTCTTCTCCTGTAAAGTGCCTGTTCAGTTCTTTTGTCCATTTATTTGTTGGGTTATTTATTTTTCTGGTGTTAAGTTTTTTGAGATCTTTATATATCCTGGAGATTAATGCTCTATCTGAGGTGCAAGTGGTAAGGATTTTCTCCCCTTAGTAGGCTCTCTCTTCATATTCTTGATTATTTCCTTTGCAGTAAAGAAACTTTTTAGTATAATACCATCCCATTTATTGATTCTTCATTTTACTTCTATGCTTTAGGAGCCATGTTGAGGAAGTCAGTGCCTAAGCCAATATAATGGAGAGTTGAACCTACGTTTTCTTCTAGTAGGCACAGTGTCTGTAGTCCAATGCCTAGGTCTTTGATCCACCTTGAGTTGACTTTGTGCAGGGTGAGAGATATGGGTTCAATTTCATTCTACTACATTTGGAGTTCCAGTTTCCCAGAAATATTTGTTGAAGATGCTATCTTTTCTCCAATGTATGTTTATGCACCTTTATCTAGTATGAGATACCTGTATTTATGTGGGTTTGTCKCTGTGTCTTCTATTCTGTTCCACTGACCTGCATTCTGTTTTGGTACCAATGCCATTCCATTTTTGTTACTATAATTCTGAAATATAATTTTAGGTCTGGTATTGTGATGCCTCCTGCTTCACTTTTCTCACTAAGGATATCCTTGGCTATTCTGGGACTTATTTTTCAAAATGAATTTCATGACTGCTTTTTCTATTTCTATGAAGACATCATTGGAATTTTTTTTAACTTTGGGTGGGACATCGCATTTTCTTTTTTTTCTTTTTTTCTTTTTTTATTGTTAGTTGTTCAAAACATTAAAAAGCTCTTGACATATCATATTTCATACATTTGATTCAAGTGGATTATGAACTCCCATTTTTACCCCATATACAGATTGCAGAATCACATTGGTTACACATACACGTTTTTACATACTGTCATACTAGTGTCTGTTGTATTCTGCTGCCCTTTCTATCCCCTTCTTATCCCCTCTCCCCTCCCCTCCCTTCCCCTCTCTCTACCCCATCTATCCTAACTCATTTCTCTCTCTTGTTTTTTCCCTTTCCCCTCACTTCTTCTTATATGTAATTTTGTATAACAGTGAGGATCTCCTTCCATTTCCATGCAATTTCCCTTCTCTCTCCCTTTCCCTCCCACCTCTCGTCCCTGTTTAATGGTAATCTTCTTCTCATGCTCTTCCTCCCTGCTCTGTTCTTAGTTGCCCTCCTTATATCAAAGAAGAATTTGGCATTTGTTTTTTAGGGATTGGCTAGCTTCACTTAGCATAATCTTCTCTAAAGCCATCCATTTCTCTGCAACATCATTGGAATTTTAATAGGAATTGCATTAAATCTGCATGACACCTTTGGTAGTATGGCCATTTTGACAATATTAATTCTGTCTATCCAAGAATATATGAGATTTCTCTATCTTCTAAGGTCTTCTTCAATTTCTTTCTTTGGTGTTCTATAGTTCTCCTTGTGGAGTCCTTTCACATCTTTTTTATATTGAGTCCCAAGTATTTTATTTTTTTAGGCTATTGTGAGTCAGATAGTTTTCCTGATTTCTCTTTCAGCTGATTCATCTTTGGTATATATGAATGCAACTGATATTAATTTAAAATCCTGGTACTTTGCTGAATTTGTTTATGAGTTGTAGAAGTTTTCTAGAAAACTTCACTGGATTAGACAAACAGGGATTAAAAATAAGGGAGGAGGATGAGAATCAGAAAAACAGTAGAATGAATATGGTAAATCTTTCCTATGTTCATATATGAAAACATAACCAGTGAAACTCCACATCATGTACAACCTCAAAAATGGATCCCAATTAGAATGAGTTATACTCTGTGTGTATGTCAAAAGGTACCTACTGTCTTGTATATTTGAAAAGAACAAATTAAAAAAGATTCATCTAAAAAATATATGATTAGAAAAAAGATAAGAGGTGGACACCAAATATAGATTAAATAGATAATAGAGAGACATACTGCTTCTGAAAACTTTAGGTGGCATGATTTTCACCTTTACTTTAACAGTTGACATAAAGGTCACCCCTTTTAATTTACAAATGTTGTCAATGAGTATGAGAGTAAATTAATATTAGCAGCTAAAAAATGTGCATTAAAATGGCATCCAATCAGATAAATTCTAGCACCTATTGTGCATACTTTAGGTTTCCCATTTTCAAAATTATAAGAATAGATACATTGGCATTTTAAGGACTACAAGTATACTTAAATATATTAAAGAAATATTATATATGTTCATAATGTCTATATATACATATATCTATAGATACTTTCAATATTTCACTGACAAATGTATGTATGAGACATAAATTCATCAAATGTTAGAAGCTGATACTAAAATAAGCTTGGTATTTATGCTAATTTGGTCAAAAATCAGGGGAAAATAAAAAAATCTTCCCATAATGATCATACTTTGCTTTTGATAATAATTCACTAAAAATCTCTGACAATTATATGGAGAAATATGGTGTTATATTAGGTTGGAAGTTTTCTTAAAGTGATTTTTTAACATTTAAAAGTTTTAATCCACTTAAGATGTAAAAAAATGGAAAGAACATAATTTTCAACTTACAAAAAAATCCCAATGAAATGCTAAACCATAACTTCCTCAAATCCATCACAGAACTGACATTAGAAAGTAAAGCAAATCACCAAATATCAAAGAAAATCAGGCCCCACAAAAAAGAGAGAGGATGCAAGCACTGACTCTTCTATGGTAGGGCACTGGAAGAAGAAATACTGGTTCCCCTTGCAAGTAAATAAGAATCTTAAGGTAGTTTTTTTTTAATTATGAAAGGTTATATACAGGAAACATGAGCTTATAGAATACTGGGAATCACAAACATATGAGGAATTCATACCCACTTTCAGAATCTTCCATATAGGCCCCTATCAGTTGTTCTAGAGAGAGATCAGAGCCAGAGCACTAGACTCAAAACTGCACTTATTTGTGGTACATGCCCAAAGAAGAGGGGTGGCTTTTGTTATCAAGAGACATGAAGCTCTTCCAATGTTCTTGTCTCTTATCATAAGTAAGGCCTTATGACACTAGGGGAGAAACAGCAATTTTTATCATTTCAGTACACAAGTGAGAGACAATTCAGGAAGAGGAACAATAAAAGTAACATACTCTACACCTAGAGCAGAAGCAGGAAACAGTCCCAGGCCCAGGATTCTCCACTGAGACTTTTAGAGGCTTCCTACATCATGGGAAGGAGAAGAAGTCAATTTCACACAAGATCCATCAAAAATTAAGGCAAAGTTTGATGGCACAGGAAAAAGAAGCAGGATCATTTTTAAAAACCCACCTCAAAACCAAGGAATATAGGTCCTTTCTAATACTGAAGCTAGACTAATACAACAGAACATACTCCTGCTCTCTCAAAACAAAACTAGCTAGCATGGAATACGCAATGGTCATCTACTTCTAGAGTATGAACATAAGCATAGAAAGAAATGCCCATGTGGCACAGTTACCTAGGAAAACACAAAGTTTAGAGTGGAACAGAA